ACCTCTCCGGTGGGGTCTGCCCCGGCGTCGCGTCGGGGGCGCGCGGCGGGGACTGGATATTCGTGGGGTGGTTTTTACAGGGGGGTCGGAGGGTGGGGAGCCGCAAAAACGTCGCCTTAAAACTTACACTCACCATTTTCTTCGAAAATATATGTGAGTGCCACAAAATCCATACTTCGTTTTTTATGGCTGAAATTTTTTTTGCGGCAACTAGGATCGAATTGGGGTGCGTATTTTTTTCGAAAAATCTCGTTGGTGCAGTTCAGGAGAGGCAAAATACTCGAGGCACTATCAAAATACCTGCTTTTTATTCAATGGTGCTAATTTTGTGCAGCCTATAAAAAATTCATAGGAACAATATTTCCAAGAGAAAACAAAAGACACCCCAATTTGACCAAAGTACTCATAAAAAAACTTTTGTGTCCGATCCGTTATTCCGCGACGGAGAAAAGGGGGAAAACTTCAATTTTGGGTGTGAGTGTGAGGTATGAGTGTGGGTCAAGGGAGGACCTACGCTCACACCCACACCCACACCCAAATAAGTTTTACTTCGAGCGACTATCCGAAATTAAATTTAATCTTGGAAGAAGAACATGTACCGGATAAGTTGAACTCAAATAATACAGTCTTGATTGTACTTTTACAAAAATGAAGTAGACGAACAGAAGAAAATTAAAAAAAAATTGGTGGTTGTTTCTTATCAATGCAGAAAACTTTGCTCTAAACAAGTTTTATCAGAAAAAATTCATATGCTTAACTCGATCTGGTTACAATTGTGAACTGCTCCAGACGCTTCTTCTTTCTCTTATTCTCATGAATGATCAAACAAACACTTGGAATGACTCAAACAAAATATGGTAACTAAATAATCGAGCGAAAACCTGTCAGGATATGTCGTTGATAATGGCAACTAATAGTACGAGAGAATAAAATATAAAAATATAAAAAAGCTGATTTTTTTCCTTTTTGTTCAACGCTTACTTTTATAAATGGATCGTAACTGAAGTACCTAGTTTCTAGAAACTTTATTTCCATTTTATTTCTTCTGTTCTGTCTTCTCTTTGCCATGAAGAGAACATTTTATTTTTGTACTTCTAGATATTAAATTTTCTCATGGATGGTTCTTCTTTCTGTGCTCCTCGATTTACTCTTACTGAATAATTGAAATGCTTAATGGTAGTGTATGTTTGTACAACTCTCCCTAAAACATGTGATGAAAGTCAAATTGCTTAATAGTTGTTGTTTACAACTGGAAAAATAGTAGCGTTGACTCTCTTTCTTTTCAAGACTAAGGAGAGAAAAAAAAACATGCACAACAATGATCTACTTTTTTTCTTGTATCGTTGACTATGCTAATAGCAACATTTTTTCATGCTTTTGATCATAAAACAGAGTATATGCAGGAGTTAGCCACAATTTTCTTGTAAGTTGAGGCATACTTCAATTAACACATTTGCAGAATATGCTGAGAAAAAGACGAGTACTATTATACGTGTATCATAAGTTGAGACACAACGCAGCAAACACACCTGAGGTCTAGTTATGATCTGAAAGCATTACTTTACAGATCATAGACAAGACACATTTTCGTTAAATATTGTTCAGGTAACATGAGATAAATAGAGCATTATTGAGAAATCCTCTGAGAACTATCGAACTGTACTTAAAGTCTAAAGTTGAGTGATGTTAATTCTTTTTTGATAAACTTTTTCCAATATTTCTGTTAAGTCTCACTGACAATTCAAGGGTTTTCTGATCGTTGAGATCAATAGGGTCGCTTTTTGTCTTTTATTGTGAAGCACCATTTTGTTTTTTCAATGGACATTGCTTTCAGTTTCTTCTGTACGTCATAATGGTATATTATATCCATGATGAATGAACGTTTGATAGAAAAGGTACTCGCATACAGACCAACAATAATTCAGAAAATAGTTTACGTTTCTATAAAATGTTAGTTTGCCAAGAGCTTGTAGATATTTCTTTGAGAATCGTTTGCTCTAAGTGACATAGAAGTTAAGTTGATCTTAAATTGACACAGACATTCTTGCACTATATATAAATCGACTAAGATGTTCGTACTCTTTTGAATAACAAGGTCTATTTTAGAAATCAAAAGTTATACGTTTTTATTAAAGATTTTCATTGAAGCAAAACCAAAATCCTTACACAATGTTTTTCATTGTTCATGGTTCTTTAAGAGAATATTCTAAGATGAAATCTAGTTTGAACAACAATTTTTCGTTCTAATAGTACTGATAAAACCATATCAATCCATAATTTGATCAAAAACTTTCTAGATAAACAAACTTACGTCAAATTGGAACATTAAAACATTTCAAACCTTTGTCCATTTGAAATTCTTGAATCTCCAAATTGTCGAAAGTGGTTAGAATTTTGAAGTAGTACTATTTTAAATGAAGCAGGTTTCTTGCACGTATATCTACAGGGTGGCTAAAAATGTTTTTCCATGGGGGTAACACTATAATTTCAAATAGCATACATAACTTATTTTATACCAAATTAAAGCGCGTCGAAAATCGGATTTATTGGTAGTAAATAGTAAGAGTTATCAAAAACTGTTATGGCCGAACTTAAGAAATTTTCATAAATTTTGTGCTTTTTTGGCATAGAAAAGCCGATACGCCAATAATCCAAAAACAAATTACAATATTTTTTACATGATTCGATAGAGCTCGTCGAGCTCTACAAAACTGTATATATCAAAAAAATTTTAAGCCATTTTTCTGAGATAAAAATTTTAAAAAACTTCTTGGAAAATGCTAAAAGATGCCAAAAAAACTCATTTTTTTAATATGCAAGGAAAATACTCGATTTTCAATACAATTAGCTTTTTCCCTTGTTTTCATTACCACAGACGCTTCAAAATATGCTTATCAGATGCAGCGTGAAAAACTGCGTCTAACGAGCATATTTCGAAGCGTCTATGGCAGTAAAAATAATGAAAAAAGCCAATTGTATTAAAGAATCGAGTGTTTTCCTTCCATATTAAAAAAAATGAATTTTTTGGCATCTTTTAGCATTTTCCAAGTAGTTTTTTAAAACTTTTATCCCAGAAAAATGGCTTAAAATTTTTTGAATATATACAGTTTTGTAGAGCTCAACGAGCTCTATCGAATCATGTAAAAAATATTGTAATTTGTTTTTGGATTATTGGCGTATCAACTTTTCTATGCCAAAAAAGCACAAAATTTATGAAAATTTCTTAAGTTCGACCATAACAGTTTTTGATAACTCTTACTATTTACTGCCAATAAATCCGATTTTCGACGCGCTTTAATTTGGTATAAAATAAGTTATGTATGCTATTTGAAATTATGGTGTTACCCCCATGGAAAAACATTTTTAGCCACCCTGTACTTTTCAAGGTTGACTCCAATTATGTGAAATTGAAAGTTGAAAAAATGCTAAGAATTGCGGGTCAAACATATTTTTCATTTAGTTTTATGAGTATGATCATAGACTAGTATGATAGATCTCACTATTGGTCAGTTTAACTTCAGATTATAATCAATATATCATAATTAACAAGAATATGTTACCTGACATCACTGCCACGAATATTCCTATTCGATCCATTCTTGGAGCTGAAGCAAAATCGGTTGATGATTCACCTCAGTATTGGGATCCTCGACTTAATTTTAGTAGTGGATGGAAAGATATTGGCTTTGCTATTGCCTTCTGGATTAATGTCATTGTTATCATATTAGTGGGCTCAATTTTAGACATACCGGCTATAGTTTCGCTCTCTAATCACATTGAATTAAGAAAAACAGATCAAACATTATCCGATGTTGACATTAAACTTTTTCTCTACGGATTGAGTGGCGCGGCAGTTGTTGGTGGATTAGTTTCTTTTGTCATCTTTTTCGCTCTGCAACTATGTGCCAGTCACCTTATCAAATGTGCATTTTTTTCATTTTTAACAATGCAAATTCTGTTGGGACTACTTCTTTTTTTTATATGAAAACAATTATGCTTAACACCTATGCTCTTTATCATAACCACGGTGATTTATTTTCTGTGTGTTCGACAACGAATCCCTTTTGCTAAAGCTCATTTACGAGTAGGCTGTGCTTCTTTACGAAGTTATCCATCGATTATATTGATAGTAATCGTTATGCTCATTGTCCAAATCCTATAGTTTGTCTTCTGGTGTCTGACAGTAGTGGGTATTCAACGTATTTCGAATAATCCTTTCCTAATTACAAATACTGAACAAATTAAAAATATTAGCAGTGCTATAACATTTAATGGGACCACTACAAAACGTACAAGAACAATGAAAAATGTCTTAATTATCGATGGGAAAATACAATCAATCATTAGCACAACACGCCCTATGAGAAAAAACACTAAAAGAATGGAAAACACCATTTATTCAATGGATGAACAATTCAAAAACAATAATACCCAACAGAATTCAACTTCTTCTACAGAAAACATGCCATTTTTTAGTTTAATTCATCTAAGCATAATAGTTTGACTAATATTCTCATGGTATTGGGTTCAGTTACATTTGGAAATATTGATCATTTTATTACAGCGTGTGTTGTCGGTAACTGGTGGTTTGGTGATCAAGCTAATCAACAATATAGAGTCAGAACAAGTATCAGATGAGCATTTAGGACAAGCATTGGAACTATTTCTTTTGGTTCATTTTTTGAAGCTGTAATCAAGACTGCGTGTTTTTAATAGGAAAGATAAGGAAAACAGTAATACACAGAGGTGTATTTACTGTATTCTTCAGTTAATCGAAAGGTTAATTGGTTATCTTAATGAGTGGGCATTTATTTATGCAGCACTTACTGGTCAAGGTTTTTTTCAAGCTAGTCAAAGTTTTGTTGAATTGTTTCGAAAAAATGGTTGGACAGCAATTATTAATGATAGTCTCATCAGATTTACTCTTATGTTTAATAATATTGGAATAGGCCTCATTTCAGCTGCTTTCGGGGGTCTTATGAAATTTCTTTTGATAGAAGACTCGTCACAACGAATACAGGCTGCTACAGCTATATCTTGTAGTGGTTTTATAATCGGTATATTTATTAGTACAATCGTCACAACAATTCTGACTTCATGTGTCCGTACAATATTTGTTTGTTTTTCTCTCAATCTAGCTGCATTGGGTGTGACGTGTCCTGATCATCTGCAAACTTTGACTAAAGCGTGGCGCGAATTCCATCCACTGAAATTCGCTGACAGTGGTTACCGTGATCAATTGGTAGAACAAGTGGCATAGCCATAGAAATTTATGTACTGAATATAGAAAAAGAATTTAAAAACTCATTGAACCATATTTTCCTTGCTAATCAATTTTGTTTGTACTTGCCGAAGTTCGTTCAGAAAAAATCATCACTCTTGTAGAAATAGAATAACAATTTTTCTTTGTTTAGTTATATTGTCTATCTGATGACTATCTATTTAATAAAAAATAAATTTTCTCGTTCTCTGCATTACCTTCTATTGTAATAAATAATGTTAAGACAAGTCTGAATTTATATTATTCGTACACGAGATCGTCTTCAAAGTAAGTTTCTTCTCCTCCGATGCATGTGTTCTAGTCCTAAAAAATCTACCAATATATCCAACTCACTAAGTTCATTTCAACATTTCATCGATATTATAGTTTTGAACTCTTAACAGTTTAGACATTTGTTAGGTTTCTAAATCTGGATTCTTATTCAGTAAATAGTACGAGATATGCATGCATATTAGACGTACTTTATTTGCAGAAAATCTAGAGTATATATAGAACTGTGGAGTATGCCTGAGTGAGAAGTAGTCGTTGGATGATCAATGTTAAACAATGAAACGAGTCGCAAAAAGACAATATATCGCGAAAGAATGAATTGTATCTTTTAAAAGCAAAGACTAAAAAATAAATACATGATTTACTGGAAAGGAAAAAGCCGAAAATATCTAATAGACAAATATTGGCAAGGTCAATGATATTTGCCATGTAATTACAAAAGGAGGATATGGTTGTGATGATTTTCTCTTCATCCAGACTCACACCGTTGGCCATACAGATTGATCGAAGAGAGAGATATAGCAAGGTTTGAAAAAAGTTAAATAGACAACTTTTTTTGAAAGCAGAAAAAAGAGCTGATGTTGGTCCTTGACGGAATCGAGTTCGAAAAATTCGTCACATAACTACCTATTGAAGATTTTCTAAAATGTTTAGTATAAAACTGATGAATATCCAAACAAGTAGGTGGTCTATCTTTCACGGATAGGTAGCTTTCAACGAAGATTTGTCGTTATATATAAGTGTAGAAGTGGGCGAAGAAAGCACACACGCCCATACAATAATATAGATCAATCATATGATACAAGCGCATTTTCAATGACAGCAACTCTGTGGAAACTGCAGTGTTCTCAAAGGAGCGTCTGTTCTATTGTAGTATCCATATATAAGTGCTCCATTGGGCTTGATTTTATATTGTTGATCAATATTCTTATGCTATTTTGGATTAGCATACTCGTCGTGAATGAAATTTCGAAATACTCCTACCATTCTTTAATCTAGTAAACAACTAATATTAAAATATATGAACACTGATACAAGAAACGATTTAAATTCGTAACAAAACACGCCATTTTCAGACTTTGAGGAGTTTTCACTGCAGTTCATGTTCTTCGAAATGTTACTCTCGTTAATTTTGAAGTGCAAAACTATTTTTCATATATGCCTTATATTCTATTGATTATAAGTAAACTAATTTGTGAACGCTTGCAATTGCATCGTAGCCTTACAGTTCAGAATTCAAACAATAAGCTTTACATTGGAAGAGTATGCCGAACAACTTCTTTCATCTTACTGCATACGAAAGGAAGTATTTGATTTGTAACAAAACGTCTCTTGAACACGAAAAAAAGAAAAGTTTTCGTTTGTTACTACTAAAATTTTCGATGTAGAATTAATTAAAAGGTTAGTTGAAAACTTTGATTTCAATTATATTCGAAGTCTACAAACATGATCGAGAGGCACAACATGAAAAATACGTTTTCAATCATGTTCAAGTGCTGGTGTTGATCCTCACAAAAGAGGTCAATGATCTTATCTCGATGCAAAATGGCAATATGCGAACCATTTATCCAACCGTTACTATCCGAATCATCAAGAATAACATTAGGATCAATAGTTGCATAATAACTTAATGTAAAAAATCATTCATTTCAATCAATTTATCCATGTAAAATATCAGTTTTCGTACATCTATTGAACAATTTCATTCCATAAGGTTGTAGCACTTATGACCAAGAACATGAATCTTGTGTATTCACTTTCCCTAGAAAATCTTCAGGTTCCTATTCGGTTAACATTGGAAGAACTGTCGATACACAATGCGGCCCTCATTGGTAAATGGGTCGGACTTTACGCTCACGAAAAAAAATTCATCCTTATTATTCAACTATAATGTCGCATTCCGCTTGTACACAACTCGTCGTTGAGATAAGATTCCTGATGCCATTAAATTAACCTGTGTGTAAATAGTCTTTGCACAAAATATATGTTCAGTTTTCTTCCACTTTTAGGTTGCAGGAGAGACCCAAGAGTAGTCAGCTAGAATGAAAATTTTGCGCTCTTTCTGAATATGTATTCAGAATTTTTCACCAACTTACCGTTGTTTCTAAAAGAGAAAATCTTTGTTGGGAACTGAAAACGATATTTGTACAGATTTTTTCATATAGCACATGTTTCTATATCGATTAAAAGTGGTTCAATTCTAATCATAAGAAAGTCTACCGTTACACTGGTTAGTAGAGCAAAATGTGCTCTAAAAAATCACCAGTTCATTTACTTCCTACACATTGTAGAAAAGGACCCACATCTTTCTATTTAAAAATATCAAAACTTCCAAAAATCGGTTATTTAAAAAGTTTCATCTCATCTACAGAGTGGTGTGTGGAAGACCAATTGTATATTTCGATTGTTTTGAGTTATAAAATATTGGAAGCCATAGCTTTGTAGCATATGAAATTGCCTACAAAACTAGACAGAAAAAAAACTATTCAAAAATATCCTTATGAGAAATTGCACATCATAGAAAAGAGCTTATTTTTCTCAGAGAAACAATGCTTTTTACTTATTCACGTATTCCTTTATAGCCAAGTAGCCGTAAGTCATGGCCAAATTCTATCGATATATTTAGAACGAGCATCAAATCTTGGCTATATCTAACTGATTTTGATCCTTTTCGATTACAGTTAAGTCTCTGAAAAATGAGTAAACATAGTTACTAATACCTTTGAAATCAGTGTTTCGTACAAACGTCGTTTTCAGTTCTCATCAAAGACTTGCTCTTTTAGAAACAACTTTAAGTCAGTGAAAAGTTCTGAATATATATTTAGAAAGAGAACAAAATTTTCATACTAGCTGACTACTTTTGTTTGTCTCCTGCAACTTAAAAGTGAACAAAAGTTGAACATTTATTTTGTGCAAAGACTTTTTATACAAAGGTTAAACACTAAAAAAGTGTTGAATCAATAATAGTGTTGTTCTTTAACTCTAAAACAATATCGCATGGTTTGCTTTTATTATCCCTAAAAAAAGTGATAGAAATATTTCTGACAGTTTTCTTCATAAAAAAATCAAGTAAATCATATTGGAGTTCATTTATATAATAAGACATATTATCAAACTTCTATCAAGATAATTATGAAGTTTCCTTTTTTTATTAGCTCCATAATCAATTTTCGAATCAAATCAATGAGAACTCATCATTCGTCTTTTACTTACCTGTTGAATGTCATCAGACATGACTTTCAAAAAAAAAAGAAGTGTGTAACGTTTGTGTTTCTTTCACGGTAGGGAGTCCGGCAGAGAACGACAAAAGAAATGAATCATTAATAGTTTGTTTCATTTTCCCTGGGGCAAAACTCACAAGGAGAAACTCTTTTCTATGCTCTTTTATGATGATAGAATGGTATAAATTGATATTCTGTACATAATAAGACACTTATAGAAGACATCTTAGTGTTATAACCATTTATGCAAATACTTGAACATTGCATATGTAAGTGTATAATCATATTTGGAACTCGTAGAACTTGTTTGCAATAAATCTGATGAACATGTTTCGTCTTTTGAATCGTAATGGGTCGATTAATTTAAGTACGCTATTGAACCGATGAAAAACCGACCTGTGCAATACATTGATTAACAAACTACTGCTTTAGGAAACATGTTGATTACTATAATTTCACGAGAGCTTACAACTCTTGTAGTTTATAATAGCAACAGTTTTTATTTTTGTATGTTACATTTGATAAATATTAATATTGAGAACAAAGGAGCAACTCTTTCAACAACTTTCCATTTAACAATTCAGCACAACTGACGTTGAACAACAGTTTTGGCTTGTTTTGCTTTACATTCTCTATTAAAAGTATGCATTTTTTTGTAAGAATTGCAAAATTTTGTGTATTCTTATTTGAAATCATTACTTAACACATTTGAAGGCTTCTGAACCTATTTAAAAAAAATACTTCTATCGATAGGAAAATAAAGAAACTACAATGCGGTTTTATAGTAGAGCTCATAGGATAAGTATCTTTCAAATTCAAACAATAGTAAACTGTGTCGATGTATCAGGACACTCACCAGAGATCTGACCGTGCCCTTTCATCATTCATCTATACTTGTTAAAATGAGGAACGAAGATTCATCTTTGTCTCTGACTTATGAAAAGATGATAGACATCATGAACTTGTTCTATTTATATTCTTTTGTTTAGTTATTAGGTTCTCCTTGATTTTATCCTTTTCGATGAAATGTATAAAAAAAAAGGAGGGAAGTATACACGGCGTGGTGCTGTTCTGTGGATTCTCTTTATTTTGGTAAGTTACGTTGGTGAATTCCGTTACATAAACGAACTAGAGAAAGGAACGAAAAATAATGTGAAGATGACAATTGAAATCATAAACGTTGTCCAATTATAAGAAGCTCATATATTTAGATTCCTTATTACTTAGACATTGTCACAGTTATGCACGCCCTAATGATTAGCATAGTTTTCTGAATACAACGGAACCCTTTTTTTTTAAATATTTTGGGACAGCAGATTAAAACTAATCGATGAAAATGTGTATGAAATGTCAAGGGAAAAGATCCTTACTTAAAATAGAGTTTAACTTGATAATGTTGACTAACTTTTCATGAATATAATAAATTTAATCTTCATTACTAAAATCCTTATCGTATAACGGGAATCTTTTATGTCAATATTTAAAGCT